CATTTTCAATAATAAATAATCAGGGGGCACCTGGATGGTTTAGTCGGTTAAGTGTCTGACTCTTGATTTTGACACAAGTGGTCATCTCATGGGTCATGGGGTCATGAGATCAAGCCTCTTTCATTCACAAGCTCTGTGCTCAGCAGGGAGTCTGCTTGAAGATTCTCTCCATCTCCCTCTCCCCCCACTTGCTCACACTTTCTTTCTAAAAAATTTTTAAAAATTAATAAACCTTAAAAATATATATATTTGAGCTGAGAACTATGCCTTTCTCCTTTCTGAGGACATTGGCATGGGTTTCAAGATTATGATGCATTGTGCTTTGCTTTACTCTTAAATATTTACTCAGCTATTCTTTCATTCATTCAACAAATATTTGCTGAGTACATAAATACAGTATACCCTTGGAGGAGAGATAAGTTATATTTAAACAGCTGTCACAAAGTGGAGCACAGTTTTGGGAGAACACAAAAGAAGGTGAGATTGTTTCCACCTAGGGAGAGCCAACTTCTTTTTGGGTTGGAATCACCATCTGGGCTTAAAGGGTCTGAAAGTGGCTGGCGGGACATTTAGGGGGAGAAAGGAGGGATGAAGACATGAGCATGTACAGGGACAAGGAAATTTCGTTTAAGTAGGAGAGGTAGGAAGTCAGGACAGTTGGGGCCAGATCACAGAGCCCTTGGTGCTGGCCTAAGTGGTTACTACTTAGGCCAATAGGGAACTGTTGAGGTTTTTTTTAATTATTTTTTATTATTTTGTTGTTGTTGTTGAGGTTTTTATGAAGGTGCTGACATGACCTTGTAGTCACATGTCAGGTGAAACTTGTCAGGCCAGGACCCAGAGGACCATACTGTCATGACCATGAGGTAGACCTCTGAGGGTTTTCAAAAGAGTTTCTTGGGATCATTAAAGGCAAGACTTGGTTCTGAAGGATGATTCCCCCCTCCAACATCTGGACCTTGCTAATTTGGGCCAGCTTTCTCGTGAGTGGGGCCATGGTAGCCAGCTTGGGCTCAGCCTCTCATGTTCTGCTTCATCAGCCCTGAACTCACTCTGGCCGATCCCCAGAACCTGCCTCTGCCGCATCAACCAAGCTTTGGCTTATTTCCCATCATCTTCCAGGGTTTGTGGATCAGCACTGGCATTCCCCACTTCCCTCTCTGACTTTGACGTTTTTGTGCCTCTTTTAGAGCTGAGAGCTAGTACTTTTGCTGTTGTTGTTTGTTTGTTTGTTTGTGATACTGAGGGCAGATTAAGAGACTTTTATTGTGTTGAAGGTGTGCTGGTTGGGATGGGGCCAAGTGGATGGATCAAGAAATATTGTGGGAATAGGAGTGCCAAGATCTGATTATTGAATATGTGGGCATGAAAGAGAAGGAATCAAGGGACAGTGTTGAGTTTTTGAGGCTGTAACTTTGAACGGCTTTAAAGGGGCCAGAAAATAACTTTTCTGACTTTTCAAAATTGAACTGAACCTATGTGTTGGAGATAGAGCCATTGAAGAGTCTTCTTTCAGCTTTGGTACTGATTAGCCCAAAGGGTATTATGAACAGCTTGGTCAAGCTAGTTGTGCCAACATGATGCCCTGCACAGACTGTAATAATTGAGTAGGATTGGAAGAAATATGCGTGTGCCAACTATGCTGGTGTATGAAAATGTGGAAGAAGCCCTCCATTGATTCTAGTTACTGATTATCCTCTTTTTAAGTGAGAAACTTAGTACTGTGTTTTACAATTTAGGAAAAAGAATGTGATAACAAACCACAGCAGGGGTTGAGGAGGTAGATAAAGGCAGTTCAATACTTATGAATCTTGGAAACTGTGAAAAATAAGCTGCTTTTGGCTGAGCATATTTTGTGTGGTGCCCATGGGCTGATCCACTTATTTGAATGTTTTCATAGTGGAATATTAAATAATAGTAATAATAGTCAAAACTTATTGAGCAAATAGTGTCAGGCACTGCTCTAGGCACTTTTTAATTTATAGAGTATCTCATTTAATCCTCACAAAACCTGTGGAAATGGGCATTTTATCCATTTTGCACATGAGAAAATTAAGGCTCAGGGAGAGAGATTGGCTCAATGTAATACAGTTACTAACTCATGCTTTTCAATTTGGTTCATGAATACCAATGATTTATTTAGTTGGTTTCCATTCAGGGATGCACTGAGCATCCCTTATATTTCTGGAACATCTGTGAAAATGTGGGTTTTGTTTTGTTTTGAACCTGCAGTGGTGGGATGGCTGTTCTGTATGCATGCAGCTAGGGGGGATGGCCCCAGTTAGAGTTATACAAGGCAACCTGCTTTTGTCTTCTCCCTGATTCCTTAGTTCAGCTTGAGAACCTTCCCCTGGTAGTTGGCTTGGGTACCCATCACCATTATCATCACTGATCTAATTACTATTGATTATGGAGCACCTTCTATGTGCCAGCTACTATGCTGAGCATTTTACTGTATTATTTCATGAATAACTACAGTAATGCTATGAGATTGCTCCTCTTGTCTTCATTTTATATGAGAATTAACTTGCATAAGGTCCCATTGCTGGTAAGAAGCAGAGATGGCACTCAAACCCATGTCTGTCTGACTTCAGAGTCCATCATCCTAACTACAGTGTATTTTCCTCAACATTAGGCTTTTCTCTAAACGTCAAGATCTGTACTTAGCCATTCCTATAATTAGCTTTAGAGGTTTAAATAGGCTTAATCTAAAATCTAGATACATTTGAGAATCATTTTATATTCTTTTCCGCCTAGAACTTATGATATTGTTAGCTGTTTGATTCACATTTTGAACCAGTCATTAGGTTAATTACCAAAGGATGCTATAATCCCTTTTTTATAAATGCTGCCTGGTAGAAGATGTGTTGATACTCAAATCACAAGCATTTTTCTCATACATTGGGAGGGAGTGGTGGCATCATAACACCTCAGTACAAACAGGGCACCCTTCAGTGAGGCTTTGTGATGTGGCAGGAAGTCAAGTTTCAAAGCTTTGTAGAGCTCATCATAAAATGGCATCCACCTTCTTTCATTTAAATCCAAGTGCTTGCAAGAGTGCAAAAATTAATATCATAAATTAGCAGGATGCTCTTCTGCTAGATAAAATAGTGGTCACTTAGTCCCAAAGGGCAAATGTTGTTAATTGTTTATATGTTTCGGCAAGGTGAGACTCATTCTTATGGTGGGAATTTCTAAAGATATCCCACTCCTATGTAAGAAAATTATAGGAAAGGAAATAGAATTGTATTGCTTATGCACTAATAAAAGCTAATAAAAATATTAACCAATTAGATAATTATAAAGCCTAAGTATATTAAAGTGTTATGCAAATACTGATTAATAGTCATACCATAGACTCAGAGAGCAAGCAAAAGCATGCCTGATTCAAATTATAGGAGCTTTTATTTGCATTTCTACAGAACCTATTATTAATCGGTCTCAAAGCACCTTTCAAGTGATAGTTATTAAAGCCCATAAATATGACCCAAAAGTGTCATTTTATTGAGGGAATAAACAAGAATTCCCCTTTACCTCTTACATAGTAAGAGATCTAAATGCCTGAGCTAAAGTAGGATTCTCCATATAAAGAGATTACTCATTCACTATGGGTGTTTGGAGCTATGATTCCATAGGTATAGAAATTGGCAGCTATGAATTCATGGTTTTCATATTGAATATCTCAGTCTATGTGGTTAGAACTTTTCAATTATTTTTGAAATTTTACATGCATGGTAGCTCTAAACAAATCTTGCCAGTATATTTTAATATTTCTCTGTGACTATTATCAAATTTGAAAACAAAAATTATGCCAAGTTCACATGAAAGTATTTAAAAATATTTTGGAATGTTGTATCAGGTTTATTTTTTCTCAAGATAATATCTTACTCAAAGGACTAACAGCTTATAAACACAGTCAGTGGAACCTGTGTTTATTTCTCTACTTTGTAGCAAGTCCTTGGAAGATTGTAAGGATTTCTAATCCATCTCAGAATATTCCTTTTCCCCTTCTCCTCAATTTCTTTATCTCATTTCCCTCCTTTGCAACTTCCCTACTCTCTAAAGCTAAGCACAGGTTGGAAGAGCTCAAGAATATTCCTAGTCCCTGACTCTCCCTCTTCTTCCGTCTTGAGTCTTCAAACTATCCCCTTCCCCGCCATGATTGATCAAGCTTTATTTTCTGCTGGTGCTGAGAGATCATAATACATTTGCTGGTCACTATTGTAAGGCAGCCATACTCATGGTTTTGGTTCTATGTCATGTAGTTTACAAGAAAAGCATGGACTAGTGAGCACCTTCCTTTAGAGTTAGAGACACTGGAGCCCAAAGAGAATGAGGGACTTGACTCAGGTCATCCAGCTGATTTCTGTCTCCCTGGAATTGGGACCACAGCTCAGGTCACTAGACTCTTAAACTCAAGCTTTTTCCTCTGCCTCATAGTGATTATAAAAGACTTTGAGTCACACAAAAAATTTAAGCCAGAAACATAAGGGGCGGACCTAGAAAAAAAACAGTTTATTGATTTTATCCAGGGCCATGGGTCAGCAAGATGAGATAGAGCCTCAGGGATCTGAAGAAAAATGGAATGATGTGTATGTGGAGTTGAAATGGTGGACCCTGGGATTATTGGGTAAGAGCTGGATGACTGGAGGTAGAGGGGAATGAAGAGCAAGCTAAAGTAGAGAACTGTGTAAGGTAGAATGGTAGTTGTAGAAGGATTTAGAAGGATGGCTGAGTTTATGGCCATGGCAATGGGATGTTGGTATAAGATGAAAAAAACTTCTATCAATTACTGGATGGATGGTCCTTAGGGACAGCAGAGTTTCTCAGGGTGATGTCAGAGGGGAGGGAGAGATAAAGGCACGTATGGCATGTTAGAAAGTTCTCAGAGAATGTGAACTAATAACAAATCCCTGGGAAACAGAGGTATTAGAGGAGTAGATATGTGTCTATTCTGTAAGAGATGTTCCATTTCTAATTTCTGATTTTTATTTTTCTAGGGAAAACTGAGGCTACTATCAAAAACTTCAGTCCCTTTTATAGTCGCCAGTATGCTGTTGCTTTCTGCAATCATGTACGCAGTGAAGTAGAACAGCAAAGAGATTTAACATCACAATTTTTGAAGACCAAGGTAACCCATGAACATTTGGTTGATGATTTTTCCCACTGAAGAATGCTTTATAACTCATCATATTTCTGGAATAAACAGTAATCTGAATGGCAGTTAAAAATAATCTGTTCTCAAATCATTTCCATGGTAAAAAACTCTATTTGCTTAGAAGTTAGAATGCATGGTTTCTTGTTGATGGTGTAATCCATATAAAAAGAAAACTAGTATGGTTGAATTTTTTTTGTTTTTCCTGCACTGATGCTTTTATATCCGGAAATTTGACTTGCTAGTCAAATAGTGAAGTTCATCTTAAAAAAAGTCATAATTTCAGTGCCTCATATTATGGGCATTTTTGTTTTGGTCATTGATAAATATGATTTTCTCTTCTAATCCCCCAAACTTATTTTTTCTTCTTTGCTCCATGATAATAATTACCTACCACCTCAACAAATATTTATTGACACCTACTAGGTGTCATGCCCTGTCCAAGATTTGGGGATCAAGACAAATTCCCTGCTTTCCAGTATATATTCAAAAGTAAAAGACAGACAGTAAACAAATAAATGAACATCAGGCAATATCAGGTCATAATAAGTGTTCAAAATAAAATAAAGCAGGAGACTTACTTTAGAGCAAATGATCAGGGAAGCCCTCTGTGAAGATGAAATTCAAGCAGAAACTGGAACTGAAATAAGAGTAAGCTGTGTGAATATCTGTGGGATGTGGAGTAATCAGTGCAAAGGCCCTGAAGCAGTCATAAGCACATCAGGAAGGCTATGTGCTGAGAGCAGTGTGAGCAAGAGAGAAGGGATGATAAATGACTACAGAGTGAAAGGACCAGACCATGGAGGAGCTATAAACCGTGATAAGGGTCTTTATTATAAATGGGAAGAGAAGCTATTGGAGGATATCGAATACAGAGTAACACAATTTTCAGCAATCTCTCTGGCTTTTCTATAGTGAATGGACTATGATGGATAAGAGGGGAACTTGGAGACTGATGAGGAGAACACTGGAGCAGTGCAAAAGAAGGGTGAAGTCAAGCTGGATTAGGTGGTGATGATAGCAGTTGTAAGGAAAGGTCCAAGTCAAGATGTACTTGAGATAGAGCTGATGGAACTTGCTGATGGATTGGATAGGACATAATAGAAGCACAGAGAAAATCAGTAATGACTTCTCGGTTTTTAGCCTGAGCAAATAAGTACATGGAGTTGCCTTTTACTCAGAAGAAAGAGTCAGAAGTGGGTGGGAATCACAAGTTCCCTTTTTTTGCCATGTAAGTTTGAGATGCTTATTTGACAAACACCTGTGGAAATATTGGAGACATAGTTGACATTTGGAGACCAGGAAAAGGAGAAGCATTCGGTGAAATGGATCACAAGAAATAGCCTTGAAGGAGGAGAAAATCAGGAAACAGGAATGTGCCAGAAGGCAATAAAGAAGGGCTTACTAGAAGGAGGGAGTGATAAATGGGTCAGATATTGCTCAGAGGTTAGATTTGACCAATAGATATTGCTCAGAGGTTAAGTTGACCAATAGATTTGGGTGTGTAGGGATAACTGAGTGTCATTCCCATAAAACTGATTCTCACAATATAGGGAGCTTGTTAAAAACGCTAAGTTTGGCCCCCACCCTCAGAGATTCTGGGACAGTAAGTCTAGGGTAAGGCCACATTTTGAACAAGTGTATCAGTTGATTTGAATGACCCAGTTTAAAAAAAAATTGCCACACATAAAACTATAAAGCTCAGCCTATATATAGTTTCAATCTCATTTAAAGAGAAGAGTGAGATCCTCTCTTACCTGTTAATGAGGCAAGATAGGAAACTGCCTCTTTAATTTTCAGGACAGAATAAATTCAGGAGGCAATTTAGTTCATCCCTTAGCCAATTCTTAAAAAGATTAGCATATCTGCCTTCTCCGTATGGTTCATGTAAATTTTGCTTGAAAGTGGAGGAATACATTTCCAAAAGAACTTTGATTATTTTAATAAAGGAAAAATAGATGTAAATTCACTGACCTGTCAAAGACAGGAGGCCCATTCCTGTGTTTTAAGATAATATGGAGATTTTACCATGAGGCAGAAGGGGAATTATTCCTTGCACGGTTAGCTCAAAGGGAGACCTGAGAATCTAACAGAGACTTCCCTGTAGAACATATGTCATCAGGGTGAACGAGAAGTCCTCAGAATTTATTTCAGTAGAAAGGTAGAAGTGAAGTTCATTGACTTGCTTGCTTGTTCTTCAACCAGAAAGCGAACATGGTCTCCTTAAGGAACACAGGGATGGAGTAAGTGTTTACAGTCTGGGTCCCCAGGGACTAGGATCTGGGGAGACCATTAAACACTGAGCCTTGAGGCTATACCTGAAAGTATGGTGGATAAGGGAGCAGCCTGTTGATTTTTCAGACATACCTGTTTTCGGGCATATTCAAGGTGTTGGGGTCTATAGCCACAGTTCACCTCTTCCAGTGTTTATCAAGGATCCTAAGTGATATGTATAGGAGGCACAGCCTTATTACTATAATCCCTTCTACTGCTTCTCTTCTTGTAGCATAATGGGTGGAAAGGGAAGTCACGAACATGTCAATAAGACAAGTGTTTGCATTTGGTGAGAGGGAAGAGGAAGGGGAAGTGTGGAGGGAGACAGGGGAAACAACATTTTTCCCAGGATCTCAGCACAAGATAGTTTCCTAAAACATTCCTTGAACTCCCGTGGATAGATTTAGTGGTAGTGTGCTATGTCATCTTTTGTTGTAATAATTAATTCTGTTCATCTTCTTTTCAGCCGCCACTGGAGCCTGGAACTGTTTTGTATGAAGCAGAGCTATCACAGTTTGCTGAAGACATAAAGAAATGGAAGGAGCGGTACATTGTGGTTAAAAATGATTTTGCTGTGGAGAGCTATGAGAACAAAGAGGTAAGATATTTCCTTGTTTGGACTGGTTCTTGCGATCTTCTTCACCATTGGCTTGGTTGATGAAAATGCCCTCTCCTTTAAGGATTCCTTCAGTAAGCACTCACTCATGCAGCTCCTCATGTCAGTTAACATGTTTACTGAATGCCTATCATACGCCAAGTGTTATGGAAGGTTCTGAGCCTTTAACTGCTAGTGAAACAGATGCTTGCAGTCTAGTGGGCAAGACAGACTTTGCACGAGTAATTGGAAGTGAGTGTGAAAATATATTACACTGAGTGACCAGTGCCGGAGCCTTTCCTAGGATCATTCAGCTTCAAGGTCTTTGCCAGTCACTGCCCTGATATCTCTCCTTCTCTGCTCAATGTCTCCATGTCTTCCTACTGGTAAGCCTCCTATGCGACACAGAGCTGGGTTACTTCATAAGACTATGACTGCATTTGCACAGGTTCCTAGGAATCCAGACATTTCAGTACTTTACTCCACTTGTACTTCTGGACTTTTTTCATTTAACTTCTTTTTTTTCTGGTTATCATATTAGTTTTCTGTAAAATAACTAGATGACTGGGATGCCTGGGTGGCTCAGTGGTTGAGCGTCTGCCTTTGGCTCAGGCTTGATCCTGAGATCTGGAATCAGGTATCACATCGAGCTCCCTGTGGGGAGCCTGCTTTTCCCTTGCCTATGTCTCTGCCTCTCTCTCTCTCTCTCTCTCTCTCTCTCTCTCTCTGTCTCTTGTGAATAATAAATAAAATCTTAAAAAATATATATTTAAAAAAGAAAACTGAAAGCTTTAAAAAAAATAACTAGATGACTGTCTAATAGAGTATGTCTGTAAACTGTGGAGAAAATGAGGTCATGTGAAAAGTGCCTAGCACCTGGGAGGACTTCAGTTTTTGTTGGTTCCTGTTTCTTTCCACACGTGGGGAGATCATTTGGTCTAGAAGAAAAAACACTTGGCAGTGAAATGGGAAAACCTAAGTTTAGGTTGAGCCTCACTCAGTTCCACTGGAGAGTCAGGCTGAATGATCCCACTGGTTCCTTCCAGATCTCGCACAGTCCACATGGTTAGTCTACATAGATCCTCAAGCTCCTTTTGGAGCGAATGGTTACTGTTTATCAATGAAAGGTAGTGATAGGTTTAAAACTCTGCCTTCCTGACAGCAAGTTTAAGAGTAGTCAGGACAACCTCCGTGGATACTTTGGGTAATACTTCTGATGCTAAACCTTTAGGAAGAGACCTCAGACTGACAGGTCCATGTATTTCCTTTCCATTTCTAATGGGAAATAGAAATAAAATAGAGTTTGAACTTACTCCACAGGCTACAGGCAATGGTCAAGTGCTCTTTTAGGTAGTCTCATTCTTTTCAACATTCATGATGCTAATATCTTCTCTGCTTATCTATATTAGGACTTTATTTTTTTTTATATTAGGACTTTATTGAATACTTGATTTGCTCTCAAAAGCAAAGTATCATTGCACTACATACCATAATGTCAATAATAATAAATCACCTCAGGGGCGCCTGGGTGGCTCAGTGGGTTATAGTCAGGACATGATCCTGAGGTCCTGGATTCGAGCCCCAAGTCAGGCTCCCTGCTCAGTGGGGAGTCGGAGTCCGCTTCTCTCTCTCCCTCTGCTCCTCCTCCCACTCATGCTCTCTCTCTCAAATAAATAAATCTTTAAAAATAAAATAAATCGGGATCCCTGGGTGGCGCAGCGGTTTGGCGCCTGCCTTTGGCTCAGGGCGCGATCCTGGAGACCCGGGATCGAATCCCACGTCGGGCTCCCGGTGCATGGAGCCTGCTTCTCCCTCTGCCTGTGTCTCTGCCTCTCTCTCTCTCTCTCTCTGTGACTATCATAAATAAATAAATTTAAAAAAATAAAAAAATAAAATAAATCACTTCATATTTTGTATGGCACATTATATTACAAAGTTCTTTTAGGGAAGCTTGAGAAGAGGCAGTAGAACATGATGGTTAATATAATGTGCTTTGAATCACATCTTTGCCAGCAATTAGATATGTGTCCTTGCATAGGTTATAAATCTCCTTGAGCCTCAATTTTCTCACCTGTAAAATGGTGAACATGATCCATCCCTTCGTGACAATGTTGTTGTAAGGATTAAACAAACGACTATATGAATATGAATATTGAAGCACTTAGCATATGGCCAACACTAGCAAGAGCTTAATGTAGAGCCATGGCAGTATGATTATTACTAACTACTAACTAATTGGAAGGAAACACTCATAGAGCTTGCTTTTGGATTTATTAAGGTTTTCACCATATTTCGTGATTTTGGTGTTTTATCCTTCTAATTTTCAGTTTTTCAAGCTTGCTCCTTCAACTTCCAATTTATGGACTGTATTGCTTTCTTGGCTTCGCTCATTGTTTTTAAATAAACTTGTTCAGTTTGTTAAGTTATGGGTAGTGAATCTGGTAATAGCTATATATATTTTTTTTTAACTTGGAAATTTTACAGGGATGCCTGGTGGGGCACCTCAGAGGCTCCTCAGTCAGTTAAAAACTTGGAAATTTTTAAAAATGCCCATGCAGTTTGCCATAATTCCTCAAAGTTATAATAATATCCTGTTTTTGTAATGTATAGAAGGGCATTTTTTTTAGTTATATATTAAGTACTATAAATTGCCTGTTACTTCACTGAGAGTCCAGTTTGGGCAGGTACTTAAGCAGGAAAAAACGAAGCTTTCTTCTGTGATAATCACGCCTTACTTCCTGTCCATTTTCTGGACAGACCTGGGTATGAATCCGGGAATTTGTCACCAACTCACCACTGGGCCATTGGCAAGTTCTTTGAGAGCTTCACTTTTCTCATTTATAAAATGGAGATAATAACTAATTCATAGTGCTGTTTTGAGGATTAAATAACATAATGTTTATAAAACCCAGATTGGAGCCTGTTAGAACAAATAACACAATTCAGTCTTAAACCAGTCTGAGCTGATCTGCTCCTAGACTTTCTCAAAGTCACAACTTTAGATTCTTCTCTAAGGAAGTGCCTAAGTCCCTGAGGTACTCCTTACAAATGGAAAACAACCTTCTTAGATATGCAGGAATTTGTTTCGTTTGGGATTCTTCACATGCCATCTTATTGATGGAGAATGTGTTACTGTTATTCTGATTCTGTTGCCTTGATCAACATTATTTTAGTTTTCCCCAAGAGCACACTCTAGATTTTAGGTTATACAGTTTTCTGGTTTCAATTCTCAACTTGCATTTAGGCTGCTATTCTCAAAATTGTGCCTTGACTTAAACCCTCCTATCAGATGCACATACTTAAATTTTACCTTATCTGGTTGTCCTCGTGAGTTGAACTGCTTGTGAGCATTTAGCTTCTCTGCACCTCTTTAACATTTCCCAAACAGCAGAGCTTTTTGTCTGCTGGCCAGAATTTGTTCTGATGCCATGATGTTGCATTTCCATCCCTGATCATGGTACTGCAAAACCATCTTAACGTGGTGGCATGTCTTATCATGGCAACATTTTTATGCTTTTGGTGAAAATCCATGGCAACCATAATTGCACTTACATGTCATGTCCTACATGTGATTAGTCATCTGTCCCCAAGCATTTTGTTCAGTTAAGTGTCTGTATCATCACCCTTGTGGTCATAAGAATGATTCAGGTGCTAGCATCTGAAATGGTAAGTGTGGTACAGGATTTCGAGAAGTTACAGAGATTATGTTTTCCCCACTTGAGAAACACATCTGGAGTGAATATCCTGAGATTAAGGACTCTGATTTACCATGTTGTGACCGTCACTAAAGCAATACCTTATGAGTTACAGGTATGCAAAACATATTTTTAACTATGTGGCTCTTACCTAGAGACATAGTGTAGGAATTGCTATCTCTGAGTGTATGTGCTCGTATCTATTTCTGATATTCCTGGTATTTCCCAAAAACCCAAATGGGGAAAAGAAATCACTTATTCATGCTTTTTTTTCTCCCCAGGCCTATCAGAGAGGAGTGGCTCCTAAAAGCCGAATTCTCCCAGCTGGTGGCAAGGTGTTAACTTCAGAAAATGAATATAATTTGTTATCTGATCGGTTTTTTCCAGACCCTCTTGGTGAGTCGCTGAGCATTCTTTCTCAAGGCAAAATTACTGTCATGGAAAGAGCACTGAATTTTAAATTTAGAGGCTGGATTTCTATCTAGTTCTGTGACACTTTTCCCCAGCCATTGCTGAACCTCTCTGGTTTCTGATTCTCTGACTCTAGGCTCTTGAACTTAAAAATCTAGAAGTGTGTTTCCAGCTGAAACACACTTGGATTCTCACATATTTCACTTTTTCCATGTAGAGAAAGTGATGGATAATATAGAGACCAAATAGCGCATTTCATAAAGATTCATGAACTGTGGATAATAACTCCATCTGGCTTTTTGTAAATCATACTGCACAGTAATTACTTGGTTTCTTGAAGAGAGCCCTGGTTCTTATTAATGGGCATAATCATATCATTAGAATTTATGGAGAAAATATAATCATTTTATCAATTGTTATTTTTGTGTAGAATGCTTAGCATAGTGTTTTTAATAGGATTAGTATGTGGACCATAAACCTAGATTAACACACTATTACTAAGTAATTCAAGCTAAAACAACACTTTATGTGCACTATACATATTATTATATTTTCTTTCAACATCTACTTGTATGTCATCTTGGCTCTGGAGCTGCTGCTAGAAATGGGAATGCCAACTTGATGACTCTTCAGAATCTTTCCAGTTAGAACCTTTCAATGAAATTAGTCAGAATAGACAATACATTTATTGGTTTATTGGTGAAATCATATCAGAAGGAATGAGTAGGAATAAAAAACACAAGGCCTGTGTGACTAATGCCATCTGACCCAACGCTTCTAATTGGGATATTTCAATGACTTTTTTTTATTGTATGGTGTGGCTGAGTTTTAAAAATAGGATATTCAAAAATAAAAAATAAAAATAGAATATTCTACAGTAGATCACTTGTGATATCTTTGTAACTCAACTCAGAAAAAATGCAGATTAATGGCATCTGGAAAATTGTTGTAAAATATTAAATGAGAGATAACTAGAGGCTAAGAAGAGCCAATTTTATGGGGCTTGCTGAAGCTTTTCAATGCAAAGGGTCAGTGTTGCTTTTGAGTTGTTTGTACAAAACCATGACATATAGGAAAGGACAAGGAATTGTTTCATAAAACCGTGTTGATCTGGAACACTTGCTGTGTGATACTAATTCAAGGGGAAAGAATAAAGGCAAATGAAGATGGGAGGCATTAACCTCACTTGAAAAAAAGCACTAGAGGTTATAAATAAATATGTCTTCTTCACACAGTATTCTAAGATGTGTAGCAATAATGCCTTCGTATTTTGCGAAAGTGATTCACTTACTTGACATTTTGTTAGAATCTAGTTTGCTGCAAACAACGAAACAGTCAAATACACAAGGCTTTATTATTTTGCTGAAAATATTTTGGATTTTACAAGTCCAGGGCTGGTATGACAGTTCCATAAATATCAGGGATTCTTTTAGCTTTCTCTCCCTTTATCTCTAGGTTGTGGTCTTTACTGATAGTCTACGGGGGCTGTTGGAGGTCAGTCATGGTTTTCTTATTCCAGATAGCAGGAAGGAGAAAAGGGAATGAGGTGGAGACATCCCCCCTCTTTTTTTTTTTTTTTAAGATTTTATTTATTTATTCATGAGAGACGCAGAGATATAGGCAGAGGGAGAAGCAGGCTCCCCTCAGGAAGCCCGGAGTGGGACTCGATCACAATCATGCCCTGAGCCAAAGGCAGACGTTCAACTGCAGAGCCACCCAGGAATCCTGAGACATTCCTTGTCTTTAAGAACACTTCAGGAAGTTTCACTGTTACTCTGGTTTCTAGTGGCTGGGACACACCAAGCTACAACGGAAGCTGCAAATGTAATCTTTATCTGACATGGTCACTTGCTCAACTGAAAATTAAGGATTTTTATAACTAAGAAAGAAGGGGAAAAATAGATAATGACACATATTGGTGTGGTCTGGAACCGACGGCCAAGAGAGAATTCTTGAGGCATCTGTGGTCAAAAAAGTGATTTCAGTAAATAACAGGACAGGATCTGTGGGCAGAAAGAGCTGCCCCAGGGTTGTGAGGAGTGGCTGATTATATTCAATGGGGTTAGGGGAAGTAAGGGGGGGGTGTCCAAAAGGACTTTCATATGCTAAAGAAGACTTCCGGATACTGGAGGCCTGGCTATTGTCAAGCTAAAGTGGTTTTTTCTTCTAGTAAGGCATGAACATTAAGACAGTTCGGAGCTTCCTTCTACTCTGCCTATCTCAGGTCCTTGTCAATGGGCTGCAGGTCATAAAGAAATTTATTTTTTTTTTTACTTTCCCTTCTGTCTCAGTTTCCCACATCACTTGTGGAAGAGAGGGTGATATTAGAGCTCCAGGAAATTGAGTTATGGGTCTCTGGAAATTAGGCTATTGATTAAGAATGCTTTTTCCTGGGAAATCACTCAGACATCAGTAAACTGATGGAGACTCCTGTCATGCAGGACTGTCACCTCCGTCAGTTTACCATGTTTTTCCCTTCCCTTAGTTTTAGGGCAGCCAAGAGTGCCTGAGGAATGTCACACACAGCCCACCTGTATGTGTGGGGAGCGAGGGCAGTTTGCAAGGTGTCAGCTTGTGCTTTGTCCTCAACTTGCCTTCAGCTCTCTCATCAGATAATGTGTCACGACTAGAAGTCTGTGCTACCAAATTTGATCATTCATTTGTTTGTTCATGTATACATTGACTCATTCTCATATTATGTACCAGGTAGTTTATGAGGTACTGGTGCACCAAAGTTTGTGCTTCTAGTACATTCTACTTTGTTATCTTCAGATTTCAGGACATTGAAACACGGTCCCCATATATGCCCAAGAAATCTATTTATTTATCCTTTTTTTTTTTTAAAGATTGATTGATTGATTGACTGATTCATGAGAGACACAGAGAAAGAGAGGCAGAGACACAGTCAGAGGGAGAAGCAGGCTCCATGCAGGGAGCGCGATGTGAGACTCTATCCCGGGACCCCGGGGAATCACACCCTAAGCCAAAGGCAGAAGCTCAATCGCTAAGCCACCCATGCATCCCATCTATCCAGTCTTGATTGATTAATTTGCCAGTAGCAAGACTGTTCTGGAGTCTCCCGGGTGGCTCTGACCCATTGTTGGGTACGCCTAGTGTTCTCAGTGGCCTTAGAGAGTACTTTTGTTCTTCCCTTCCCTGAGACTGGTGCCTATTTTATGTAGACAGAGAGCACAGAGCTAATAATAAACTGGGGGTCATTTAACCGAGAGTAATGCATGGAAGGGAATACAAGTTAGGTAGGAATCTGAATAGTAGCATGGTTTAACAGGAGTTTCTTAGAATTAATTTTGAGGTCAGTGGTAAAAGTCCATTGTTTAAAGCTTTTAAAATTTCCTAGGGCAATATAGCACATTTATTCAAACAAATTGTAGTTGAATATCCACTCTCTGTGCTAAAGGCTGAGCAAACAAAGACATATAAGGTGCAGTTTCCATCCTCTTAGAGCTCCAGGGCAGTGGTACTGCTTCCTGGGGAGAACTGGGAGAAGCAGTAAGAGAGCTCATCTCACTCTGTGCCTACACTGAGCGTAAGTGCCAGACATGAAAACAGATCTTTACAATATTTAGGGAGAACAAGGTAAGGAGCACCCAACTCTGTCTCTTGTGGCATGAGGAGGTGCCAACAAAAGGCATCCTAGAGGAGCAGCTTTTTTTTTTTTTAAGGACTTTATTTATTTATTCATGAGAGACACAGAGAGAGGCAGAGACACAGGCAGAGGGAGAAGCAGGCTTCCCATGGGGAACCTGATAATGGGACTCGATCCCAGGACCCTGGGATCACGCCCTGAGCCAAAGGCAGAGGCTCAACCACTGAGCCACCCAGGTGCCCCATAGGAGCAGCTTTTGAATTGACTTTTGAAGGATGAATGAGAATCTTCCAGGCAGAAGCATGATGGAAACAATAGAGGAAAAAGTAACAAGACCTGCAAAAACAACATTCCATATCAGAATGGATGACCACACCAAAGAAGAGGAGAGACTAGTAAAAATGGAGTGAAACCAGGACAGAACAGGGCAAACACCAATACTTCACAGGGTGATGGAGAGAAGGGGCAGAGGAACCAATAAAGCTGACCAAGAAGAAACAATTTTTTTTTTTTTTAGAAACAATTTTTAAAAAACACAAAGGAGGGACTCCTGGGTGGCTCAGCCGTTGGGTGCCTGCCTTCAGGTTAGGGCGTGATCATGTAGTCCCGGGAGGGATTGAGTCCCATATCGGGCTCCCTGCATGGAGCCTGCTTTCTCTCTGCCTGCGTCTCTGCCTCTCTCTGTCTCTGTGTCTCTCATGAATAAATAAATAAAATATTAAAAAATAAAATAAAAAGCACAAAGGACATCAGAAGAGAGGTGATCCGCAAGTCAAGGGGAGAGAATATTTTCAAAAGAAGGGGTAGTTAGCAGCAACAGATGTTTCAGGTCAAGTTAAAAGTCTTAGATAATGAGAAAAAAAAAGGCTGAGGTAATGAAGAAGAAGCCACAGGTTGGCAGTTAGGACAACATCAGTGACCTCAGCCATGGGGTTTTGCGACTGGTGGGGCAGGAACCAAACTGAGGTGAAAATGAGGGTTGCAGCAGAAAGAAGCAAGTGTTGGTTTGGCAGCAACAGGGAGGAGATGGAGAGGGCAGGGCAGAGAGCAGCCTGGTGGAATGGGGTCCTGTGAGGATCGGAGGGTTGCTTAGGGACAGGTGAGCCTGAAGAGGACCAGTGGGGGACACCCAGACTCTGTTTGCGGACCATTGATCTGAGGAAAGCTGAGAAAGATGGTGTCTGGTGGCCTTGGCTATCCCTGTCAGGTAGAGGGTGAGGCCCCCTGCTAGAGTGAAACAGGTAAAGCTGCCGGAGGAAGTGAGAGGAGCCCCAGTGACCATTTCCTGCCATCCTGTGAAGACATCCCAGGTCACGTTTCTGCCCCATGGCCTGCCCCAAAGAGTTTCCTTCCCAGCCTGGAATAAGTATTTTAAATAAAAGATACACGTTTTAAAATGTCTTTGTGTTTTCAATATTTCTTTAGCACCCAGTGAAAAGGAGAATGCTCAGCCTTTTGTGGTCTTGCCCAAGGAGTTCCCAGTGTACCTGTGGCAGCCGTTCCTCAGACATGGCTACTTCTGCTTCCATGAGGCCACTGACCAGAAGAAGTTCAGCGCTCTTCTGAGCGACTGCATCAGACATCTCAATCATGGTAGGACCTGGCTGCCCTCACATCCCCAGTGGGGCTGCTTTGTCTCAGGGGGTGCTGGTTGGTTGCCTGTTAGAATGACTCCTAGAGAGTGCTGCCCCTGAAAGGAGGGGAAGTCAGGTGAAGCAGGAGTTTGTACACAGGAGTGCCGTCACCTTGGGGCTGTGTAGTAAGGTCTAGAGAGCCTCCGTGAAACAGAATGTGGGGCTTTGTCCGATGGCACCTGTGAGCCGCATTCACACATATAATTTTGCATGTGATTCTCGTCCTCTTCCTTTTTCTTGATGTTTCTTATTAAAATGACAGCAAGAATGGGCCAGCTGTCCCTGGCAAACTGAGTCCTTATGACACTTCATGTTTTCTCTCACCTTTATTTCTGAATAACTTGCACAGAGCTTTATGGTACCTAAAATCCCTGGGAGAACTTCTTAAACACAGATTTGTTTTTTGAGGCTCCACCCTCAGAAATTCTAATTCACTGGATCTCCGGTGGAGCTCCCATTTTACTTGTCTAACAAGTTGCCAAGTAATGCAGATGTTGCTGGTCTCGGGCCACACTTGGAGGGGTGTTGCTTCACTTTGCCTCTAGGTATGGACCTAATTACTATCACATCTATAACGGAAAAGACTTTTCATTGCAATATGGGATGTTTTGATGAGTTCATGTGAATGCTGGTTTTTCTGGAATCCACGAAGTCTTCAGTTACAGATAATTAAGCTCTTTGTTCTCTGGCAACTGGAAAGGCAGTAGTTAGTCAGATATCATTGAGGGCTGACTCTGTGCCAGCCTCGTTAGGTATTAGGAACAGAGTAATGAACCATGCAAAGTTCCTTGCTCGGGGGTCTATATTCAAACAGAGACAAGGGACAACACAAACACAAAATCACAAGGTAGCTTGATAGTTCTCAAAGTTAATGTGTCGCAGAGTAACTAGAAGTGACTCCATGAGGAAGAATGGAGTTTAGTACTTTGAGGAGACTGGTGAGAGGAGGCCTCTTTGACCAGGCAACGTTTGAGGTGAGTCACCTTCCCCATCCAAGCCTTTTTTCCTCTTTCCTAATAAGGCTAATGTCACTGTATCTTTTCTTTAGAGTTCTGAGGTTTCCCTGAGAATGTCAGTCCCAAAGAGCAGAAGTCACGAAGTGATGTGCGTCAGTCTGTTCTTGATTTTAGCTTGTATATTGATAGGAGGCTGGTGGGAAAATATCATGTCACTCTATTTTGCTATAGCAACTCTGACTAACACTGATCATAACTTTGGCTCCTAACTAGTTAGGGACTTTATAAAAACGATACCCTTATTAATATCTTGCCTTGTGGTTTTGCTGTTCTAGAGACAGAGAATCGCCCAGCGTTGCCTGTTCCATCTAGCTCATTTTTCAATTCACTTACAGCTCTGTGTGCAGTGCCTTGGGTCTAGTGGGAACATGCAGTTGGCACTCAACACAAGAACCATGAAGTTTCACTGAGCAGGGAATGTTCTCCGCCCAGCCAGATGGGGCTTGCTTCATTCCCTCTTCCATGTACATAATAGGAAATTCCCTGGGGAGTTTTTGGATGTTATGTAGCCTGCATTCAGATTCCATTTATGGAAGATTTCAGTCAATTCAAAACCCAACTCTGCTCTCCAGTGTTATCAAAGGTTCTAAGATAATGAGGTCTAGTCATGTGGCTCTTTCATTTTATGTCACGTTCCTCTGTCCAGAAACCACTTTTCCTCACCGCGGCTTTATGCAGACTTGATGTGATATAGCGTAACTTCCAGTAGCTCCAGGCACAGGCACAACTAGAGACCACCAAAACATTGTAAGGAACAGTCCTTGACTGCCATGGGCCAGTGAGCTCCCGGGTCCTTCTCTTCTCGCCTGTTTTTGACAGCACAATATACCTACCACCCATCCTTACTGACTCACTTTTGTTATTTCTACCTCTACCTCTTACTCATGGTATGATCTTGAGTAAACCTGTAAGAGGTTCACAAACAGAGAGCCATTTTTTTTTCCCGTAATTGCCAGAAGAGTCTGGAAATAGGTGTGAAATTAAGGCTATGATGAGGACCAGAGCTGTGGGAGGATGGTGGGGAGGCCGCTGACTTTCACCCCCAGGAAAATAGAGTTGGGCTGGCAGCCTGCTGTGGCTGCTCCACTGGCCCTCAGGCCACAACACACTCTGTTGTGAACTAGGTCTAAAACATTCTGGCAACTGATGCCAGGCAACTATTAATCCTGTCCACTCGTAAGTCCTCAGGGATCTTTTTTGCTTTTCAGTTTTGTTGAGATATAATTGATGTATAACATTGTATTAGTTGAAGGTGTGTCATAATGATTTGATGTATGTATATATCGTACAATGATCACCACAATAAGTTTGGTTATCCATTGCCTTGTAGAATCACAATTTTTTTTCTCGTGATGAGAACTTTCAAGATTCACTCTCTTAATGATTTTCAAATATGCAGTATAGTATTGTTAACCGTAGTCACCATGCTGTACATTACATCCCAGAATTTGTTTATTTTATAACTGGAAGCTTATACTTTTGACCACCTTCACCCATATCCCCCGATTCCCCACCTCCTGCTTCTGGCAGCCACCAATCTTATCCCTGTTTCTATGACTTACAGATTTTTAGCCTTTTTCAGATTCCAAATGTAAGTGAGATCCTACAGTATTTGTCTTTCTCTGACATATTTTACTTAACATGATGCCTCAAAGGGTCTTTGAGAGAAGATCCTTTCATTGCCTTTGTGATGAGTTCCTCCAAGGATACCTGTCACTGCAGGTTTTTTTTTTTTTTTAATTTATTTATTTATGATAGTCACAGAGAGAGAGAGAGAGAGAGAGAGAGAGAGAGGCAGAGACACAGGCGGAGGGAGAAGCAGGCTTCATGCACCGGGAGCCTGATGTGGGATTCGATCCCGGGTCTCCAGGATCGCGCCCTGGGCCAAAGGCAGGCGCCAAACCACTGCGCCACCCAGGGATCCCTCACTGCAGGTTTTGAGGACACCTCAGCTCAAATTCCACCCCAGCCTACCTCACTTGCCCCGGGAGTTCTGAGTTCAAGTTGATCGAGGTATACTTGTCCATTCATTCTCAATTCAGAACCATTTCTTCTATTCCTCCTTGTGGGGTGTGTGTGTTTTCTATTTAACCCCCAAAAAGGGGCCTGACTACACCTTGTTCTTGGACAATAAGGCTGTGTCCTAGGGTAAGCTGAGGCAAGTAAAAGACTCTCTTCTTCTTCCTTCAAAAGAGGGAGCTGCTTCTGGGCACCTCAAAGATTATTTACACTCCTAAGGTATGTGAAGTGTGTGTGTGTATTTTGTTTTGGTTTAATTTTGGCATCTCTTCACTGAGCAGGCATAAAAAAAACTCCACAAAATTATTCTTTAGCAGAACATCCCACTCCAACATACTGGACTAAATATCAAGCCCATTACATAGACAGCAACTGCTGTCCTCTGTCCTTTGGGAATCACACTGCAATCCCTTGTCCCTAGTGAGGGAAGGCCAGGGATCTAAATGTCAACTGCCATAAAATGGGAGTTATATAATGCTAAGGTATTCCAAGATAGTTCTGTTGTCCAAAATTCAGTCTTACTCTTTAGAATTTTAGTTTGAAAAATCTGGTCATTGTAGTTACAGGGATATAGTTATTACTTTGAACAAATATAGAGAGTTGTACATATGCAATATGGAATAATGATCATTATCATCATGAGTCTGTCTTTTCAGCTCAGGGTGATCATTCCTTGGCAAAGGAATCTGCAGGATGGGGAGAAAGTGTTCCTGGCAAGAGGAATAGGATATGTGGGGGCCAGGAAGAGAGTCAGAGCATGGATCATTAGGGAAACTGAAAGAATTTTGTGTGACTGCTGTTTTGAAAGAGAGAGGAGGCAAGTGAGGATGGGGAGATGGGTAGAATCCAGGCTATAAAGGGCTTTGCAATGGATATTAAGGGATTTGCACTTTATTCTAACAGTAACAGGAAACTATTAAAGGATTTTAAGCAGACAAGCGACTCAGTCATATATTCATTTTAGAAAGGTCACACTGACTGCTGTGTGGGCAGAGGATGAGAGAGTAGTATGCTGGGATGCCAGGAGGCTACTTAGGAAGCTTTGGCAGGCACCAGATGGTGGGAGCCTGCACCAGAGAGCTGATAATGGAGACAGTGAGAGGTGGCTGGAGAAGAGAGATCTCCAGGAAGTAGAATGAACAAAAGTTGACGTTAGATAGTGTGGAGAGTGAGGCAGTGGTGGGAGTCCCACCTACTGCCACTCTCTGAGACAGGAACCTTGTGTGAGGAGAAGTAGATGCCAAGGAAAGGAGATGATGTGGTCAGTGTTGTAGATGTTGAGTTGGGGAAGTCCATAAACATCCAGGTGAGGAAGTTTCATAGACAGGTGTGCGGACAGGGCTGGAGACAGGAGGGCCATCTGGAGGGGAGACAGAAAGGGGAAGTCAGCAGCCTGCAGGCCACCATTAAGCTATGGCTGGCTTTGTAGGAAAGTTGTAGTTTGCAAGCCCCTTAAAGGCAAATTGTCTTTTTTTTCTATGTATCCCCATTCCCAGCAGTTGTCCAAGGGCCTGGTGCCAGGTAAAGGCTCTGTAAATCTCTGTCCCCCATCCTTTGGTAGTTAAAAATATGCTCATGTGTGAAAAAGCATGAAGTATGTATGCTGGTGTAGCTTAAAAATGTTTGTATATAAAATCTGCAAACATTTTAAAGTAAAACGGATCAATGCTTTTATGTTAAGTAAGTGCTAACTTATTCACTTACTACATGGATCTGTGATTTTATAATTGAACCTCTAGGCAGTGTGCTTATCAGGAATATCAAGCCTTTGTGAAATTCATTGACTCTGTTAGGCTCTCTGACTCACCCTCTTCATACAGACACCTCTTTAATTGCCAGCGTCTCCTCTCTATTTTATTTCAAATTCGCTGCTACCAGCCTGCTTTGGACTCATATAAAAAAACATTCCCAGAGGTTTTTAGTT